GGCAATAAATACATATCTATTGATAATTACTATATTCTTATTTTTAAATTTTCTTTTTAAATTATAGTTTACATTCTATATTATTTTGAATTTGTTTTAGGTGTACAGTATAGTGGTTAGATAATCATATACTTTACAAAGTGTTCCCCCCTATATTTCTAGCACCCACCTGGCAACATACATAGTGATTACAATATTATCAACTACATTTCCTATGCTGTTTTGTTTTTGCTCACACTGTCCAGAATCATCTTGATATCCTTGGCACTGGAGAAGGCACTGCCCCCGAGGTCATCTTTTCATCTCTGTGTTATTATTATTACTAGAGACCTGATCCATGAATTAGTGCATGGCTGGGGTCCCTTGGCCTGGCCAGCGATCATGGGTGATCGGGGCCGATCAGGGCCATCTCCCTAGGTTCCCATCGGGGCCAATGGGGGCCAGCCGGCTGTGGGGAGGGGCCACCGGAGGTTGGCTGTGGGAGGCACCTGCATTGAGCATATGCCCCCTGGTGGTCAGTGTGCATCATAGCAACCAGGCGACCAGTCATTCGGTTGTTCGGTCACTTAGGCTTTGATATATAGAGATTTTAAAAATATATTTTAAATTGATTTTTAGAGAAAGAGGAAGGGATAGAGAGATAGAAATATCTATGAGAGAGAAACATCATTGATCAGCTGCCTCCTACATTCCCCCTGCTGGGGATTGAACCCGCAACCTAGGCACATGCCCTGAGTGGAATCAAACCAGTTTCCTCTGAGTTCATGAGTTGATGATCAACCACTGAGCATTACCGGCCAGGCTATTATTTTTTTAATCCTTACCTGAGGATATTTTTCCCATTGATTTTTAGATAGAGTAGAGCAGTGGTTCTCAACCGTCTGGCCCTTTAAATACAGTTCCTCAGGTTGTGACCCAACCATAAAATTATTTTCATTGCTACTTCATAACTGTAATGTTGCTACTGTTATGAATCTTAATGTAAATATCTGATATGTAGGATGGTCTTAGGCGACCCCTGTGAAAGGGTCGTTCGACCGCCAAAGGGGTTGCGACCCACAGGTTGAGAACCACTGGAGTAGAGGGAGAAAGGGAAGGAGAGAGAGAGAGAAACATAAATGTGGGAGAGACTGATCGATTGGTTGTTTTCCCACATCCACCCCAACCGGAGCCAGGGATCAAACCTGCAACTGCAGTATATGGCCTTGATCAGGAATTGAACCTGAGACCCTTAGGTCCACAGGCTGACACTCTAACCACTGACTCAAACCAACCAGAGCTCTTTTCATCTTTGTATCTCTAATTCTAGCAAATGGCACACAGAGGTTCTCAATATATGTTTATTGGCTGTGGTAATAGCTGCACAACTCTGTGAATATACTAAAAACCATTGATTATACAGTTTAAATTGGTGGATTATATGATCTCAATAAAGCTGTTATTGAAAAAGCAAAACTGCCCAGCCAGTGTTGCTCAGTGGTTGAGCGTCGCCCTAGGTACCAAGAAGTTCTGGTTCTACTCCTGGTCAGGGCACAAGTCCAGGTTGTGGACTCAATCCCAAGTGGAAGGCATGCAGGAGGCAGCCAATCAGTGATTCTCTCCCATCACTGATGTTTCTATCTCTCTCCTCTACCTTCCTCTTTGAAATCAATAAAAATATATTTAAGCCCAGCCAGCATGGCTCAGGGATTGAGCGTTGACCTACAAACCAGTAGGTCCCAGTTTGATTCCCCATTGGAGCACATACTTGGGTTGCGGACTCAATCCCCAGTAGGAGACGTGCAGGAGGCAGCCTATTCAATGATTTTCTCTCATCATTGATGTTTCTATCTCTCTCTTCTTCTCCCTTCTTCTCTGAAATGAATAAAAATAAATAAAAATATATTTATTTTAAAAAGGGAAACATCACCCTGGCCAATGTGCTCGATGGTTAGAGTGTCATCCCATGTACCACAGAGTCAAGGGTTCAATTCCCATTCAAGAGCATGTACCTGGATTACAGGTTTGATCCCTAGCCCCAGTTGCAGGAGGCAACTAATAGATGTGTCTCACATCGATGTTTCTCTCTCTCTCCCTCCCTCCCTCCTTTCCTTCCACTCTCTCTAAAAATCAATGGGGGGGAAATATCCTCTGGTAAGGATGAACAAAAATATATACATTTATATCTTGTTTGCTTTTGCTACAGGGTTGAAATAGGGTCACAGACAAAAAGTACAAGTATACAAAGGAGATGACAAACAAGTTTATTTAACATATACTCCTCATTAGGATCAGTCCAGCCAGTTGGGTGAGTGAATCTTTAAACATTAGCCCATGTAGGCCAGTGTGTGCCAGAGAAGAATGTGAAATAGGTAACAAAAGTCACCCAACTGATTTGTGACATGAATATATGAAGCAAAGTAATTTAAAATACTAAGATTTCTCAGATTCTAAGGACCAAGAAATTTAAGTCTTCTCAGAGCCCATTCCAATAAGACAGGCCTTCTTTGCTCTATTCCTGGCTATGGTGATTGCCTGAGAGTACCACGTACTTCGTTATAATTTGTCCCTTCTCCAAGTGAGATTGCTGAATTGGTGCCCACCACCATCTCCTTAATCTAAACTAAGGAACATTCAGAAACTAATGTCCTGTTTTGTTGACTGCTGAGTCATTTTCTGACTTTACTTGCTATGGTATGCAGAATAATGGCCCCCTATAGATATCTACATCTTATTCTCAAGAACCTATGACTACGCTTTACATGGCAAAAGAAGCTTTGTAGATGTGGTTAAATTAAAGGATTTTGAGACAAGGAGATTATCCTGCATTTTCTAGGTATGTCCAATATAATCACAAGGGTCTTTATAAGTGAACGAGGGAGACAGGAGAGTCAGAATCAGGAGATGTGATGACAGAAGTAGTGAATAAAGTGATGCAGCCAGGTCAGCATGGCTCAGTGGTTGAGCGTTGACCTATGAACCAGGAGGTCATAATTCGATTCCCGGTCAGGGGACATGCCTAAGTTGAGGGCTCAGTCCCCAGTGTGGTGTGTGCAGGAGGCAGCCAATCAATGATTCTCTCTCATCACTGATGTTTCTATTTCTCTCTCCCTCTCCCTTCCTCTCTAAATAAAAACGTATATATGTTTTTAAAAAGTGCAATTGCTGGCTGGCACCATGAGCAGAGCAATGTGAACAGTCTCTAAAAGCCGGAAAAGGCAAGGAAACAGATTCTCCCCTAGAACCTCCAACTCTGCCAACACTTTGATTTTAGGTCTCAGAGACCCATTTCAATTTTCTGACCTCCAGAACTGTAAGATAATATATCTGTATTGTTTCAGCCTACTAAATTTGTTACCAATAGGAAACTAATATACTTGCCCTACTAATATCATCAATACCAGGCCTGGAGCATATGTCTCCTATCTGTGAAGTCCTATTGCTTTTATTGCACAAGATACGAGTATTGGTTTGGAACAATTGTTTACTGTGTCAGAGTAGAAATGCTTTTCCCTTTGGGCTATGCAACTCCAGAACTAACCAATGGAAACTAAAGTTTGATCACTGGTTAATGGTCAATATAGGTAAAGAAAATACAGAAACATGCAATTCTGTCACTGGGATTTTGGATCATGGATTTTCATAATATTGTATATCAATAATAACTTCAGCCTTGGCCAGTGTTGATCAGCAGTTAGAGTGTCAGCTTATGCACCAAACAGTCATGGGTCGATTCCCAGTTAAGGGCATGTACCTGGGTTGCAGGTCTGATTCCCAGCCCCAATCGGGGCATGTGCAAGAGGCAACCAATTGATGTATCTCTCTCACATTAATGTTTCTCTCTACTCTCCCTCCAACCAATTGATGTGTCTCTCCCTCTCCCTCCCTTCCACTCTAAGGATCAATGGGAAAAATATTCTCAGGTGAGGATTAAAATAATAAAAATCCTATATAATAAAGAGGTGATATGCAAATTGACCATCACTCCAACACACAAGATGGCCACCCCCATGTGGACACAAGATGGCCGGCAGGGGAGGGCAGTTGTGGGCAATCAGGCCAGCAGGGGAGGGCAGTTAGGGGCAACCAGGCTGGCAAGGGAGGGAAGTTGGGGGTGACCAGGCCAGCAGGGGAGGGCAGTTGGGGGTGACCAGGCCGGCAGGGGAGGGTAGTTAGGGGTAATCAGGCCGGCAGAGGAACAGTTAGGCATCGATCAGGCTGGCAGGGGAGTGGTTAGGGGGTGATAAGGCTGGCAGGGAGAAGCAGTTAGGGGCAATCAGGCAGGCAGGCAGGTAAGCGGCTGGGAGCCAGCAGTCCTGAATTGTGAGAGGGATCCCAGGTTGGAGAGGGTGCAGACAGGGTTGAGGGGGACACACACACACACCCCATGCACGAATTTTGTGCACTAGGTCTCTAGTAATAATAATGATAATAACTTCACTTGTGTGTTCTTTAACATGTTTTTAGAGGGGAAGATTTAGGAAGGATATAAAGCTGAGACAGGAAGAGCAATTTGGAATAGGGTATTTCACTGAAGGCTTGGCAACAATTAGAAATACAAAGATAATGTCCCAGAGATAAAGGAATACAAGGTAAACAGTAATAGAAAAAAAGTTCTCATCTAAGATATAAGCAGTAATAGAGTGGTTAAATGATATGGGAGAAAAGATAGTAAGACAGAAAACTAAACACCATGAGATGATACCAAGATCAGATCACTGCCTGGAGACCTGAGTTCTCTATTTCATTAGTTTCAATTTGATCTTTAGCCTAATATACAACACAACCTCCAAATTTTCCTAACATTCTTTTTCTAATTCCTATGTAAAGCTCTTACAACTGAGCTGTGAGTTATAATCTGGTAAGAAAGCATAAGATTTCCAACAACTATGAAAATACTTACTATCCACACTTACTATTCATTGTCTCCATTATTTAAGAAGACTTGTAATGTTATATCAGTTTTCTACCTTCCCCCTGCCAGGTTAAATGTACAACACAGAAAACTCTTCCTTACTTACAACTGCACAGCGTGGCATTTTGGAAGTAATCCCATCTTCCTCTGTTGCCCCATTGGGTCCAGGTGCCTCTTTCCTCCTTTTTCTTGTGTTGACTTTGGCTGAATTCTGTGCATCCATCTTCTTTTAACCGGTCATAGAAAGTGAAAAAGAATCTTTTCTCACTGGGGGAGAAAAAAGTCTGTCACCAGTATTTCAGAGATGTTAACACAGATATACTCAGCAAAAGATCAATTCCATGGCACATATTTCCCAAAGAAGAGCCAACTGCATCTGGCAAAAACAAAGCTTCATAAACACAGGCTCCAGTAGAAACTCTAAATTGACTCTCTGTGGAACAAAGGCCACAATTAATCACCTGACCTTGGAACTTATTTCCCTTGACCAATGAAGCCTGCATATTACCTACTAATTCCACATCCTGACTGCATGCAAAAGGTTGAAATAACTTGGCTGAGAAAGTTTGTTATACAGCTTTAACAATACCCTTTAGGACACCTGGAGGTATGACCATTGCAAGGAAATGTAAAAGGTATGTCTTTGGTGCAGATGGGGGAAAGAGCCTTTTTTTAAAGGATTGGTTATCACCAATTCCTGGTTTAACAAAGCATGGATTTCTTAACTCTAAATGCTCTGTAGATTTCAGACACCACTCCACCAGGGATCTATGGAAATTGTGGTGTAAGTGTATTGTAGCTTTTAAATATCCTTCCTCTTCCTTCTTTAATATTCATTTTCCCTTCCACTTTCAGAGTCGCAAGCACCTTAAATTTGCTCAGAGTCCCCAACTATTAAAACCCCAACCAGGTTTCTCCTTGCCCCAGGAAAAAAAGTCATTACTGTCTCATTTTGCGGAGAGCTTCTAGCAACTAGCTATTATATAAAAGTTCTGAATGTTTGATATTTCATATTTAGATATTGGCTTGTGCTACCTCTCTAATTCCCAGCAAGGATCTGCTTTGGGTAACGTAATTTACACAAACAAATTAATTTCTTGGCACTGATGAAATTTTAGGCATCAGCCAGAAATTGGGGATAGAGGAATTTTAATGATCAGCTGCCTTCTCTGCCCAAGATACGCACAGCGAAAGACGGAAGAAAGATCCTCAGAGCAGAGGAGGAAAACAAAACAAGTGCCAGACAGAATGAGGACATTCTACACTGACTCCAATAAGCCCTCCTGAATAAGATGTTCACCTAAACAACAGCAATTGTGCCTTACTTTCTTTCCTCCAGCTAAATTCCAAGTGGCAATGTGACAAGATCTACAAGAAACCTGACCTAATTCTTAGAGACTGATGGTGACACCCGAAGTATTAGGCTGACGTAAAAAAATGTGAGTCTAAAGTGAAAGATGAACACCACCCAGAAACTTCCTTTCATCACAAATGCAAATTAAAATGGAAAGATACTATACATTTAACAAGTTTTTCCAGTGATGATAATCAGAGCTTTTCTTCATTATTGTTATTAAGTATTCTTTCAAAATATCCAGGTCAGTGTTGCTACTCCCATCTCACTGCTAACAATGCCTAATCGGTCCATTTAGTGACCACTTCTAACTTGCATATGACAAGACTTCTCGGTAAATATCTGCTAAATTCTTCTCAGGGTAAGCAGACAAAACCATTGGAGAAATGTAATCAGCAATCTGGTGACAGGCAGCTCAAGCTCAGGTGGTCAATATATTAAGTACTTACTGTGTACAAGGTACTCGACATAATTTTTTAAAGTAAAAACTGTTTTCTCCAGAAGTTCTCAACCAAGGTGAGGAAACCACGTGTTTATGATGTAAAAAAGCTCTTTAGAATTCAAAAACCATTGGGGAAAAGTTTGTTGAGGAACAGGATATTTACACAGTTTCAAAGTATCTCCCCACAGATTATTTATTAATTACAAAGGGAATTTACCCTTTGTAAAAAAGAAGTTACCTTTTTAGTGAAAAAAATCTCTTAGCTGCCCTAGCCCGTTTGGCTCAGTGGCTAGAGCGTCGGCTTGCGGACTGAAGAGTCCCAGGTTCAATTCCAACCAAGGGCACATGCCCAAGTTGTGGGCTCCCCGGTAGGGGGCATGCAGGAGGCAGCCGATCAATGGTTCTCTCTCATCATTGATGTTTCTATCTCTCTCTCCTTCTCCCTTCCTCTCTGAAACCAATAAAGTAATATATTTTAAAAAATCCCTTAGCTAAGTGATCAAAGTTAATTAATATAACCAATAATGAATGCTTCCTTGTGTGAGACACTAAGGATACACTACCTGCCCAAAATGCATAACCTGTATGGATTTATGAGGAATAAGCCGACAAACCTTAATTAAAGGACAGTGTACAAAACAAGCCTGTGTTCTTCAAAAAATTTCAATCATGAAAAACAATAAAGGGCTGAAGGACTGCTCCAGGTTAAAAGAGACCAAAGAGCCAGGCCAGTGTGGCTCAGTGGTTGAATGTGGGCCCGTAAATCAAGAGGTCACTGGTTCAATTCCCAGTCAGTGTCCATGCCCCGGTTGCATGGACGTGCAGGGACGTGCAGGAGGCAGCTGATCGATGTTCATCTCTCTATCTCTGTCCCTTCCTCTCTCTAAAATAAAAAAAAAGAGAGACCAAAGAAATGATAACTAAATATAATGCAAAATTCTTAATTGGGGGTGGGGGGGGAATTGTTACAAAGAATAGTTACTAGGACAATAAATAAAATTTGAATATGAATTGTATATCAAATAACAGACATCGATGTTTAACTTCTCTGATTTGATTTTACAGTGTGCTATGGAAAAGACTGTCCTTGTTTTTAGAGAAAAATGCTGAAGTATCTAGGGATAAAAGGTCATGATCTCTGCAACTTACCCTCAGCAGAAAAAAAAGAAGAAATATATGTACATCATATTACATTACATATAAAGTAGGTAAAGCAAATATGGCCAGTGTTATCAATGTATGAATCTAGGCAGGGCATAAAAGGGTTCATTTTAATATTCTTACAACTTTTCTATAGGCTTTACTTTTATTTCAAAATAAAAAGTTTAATTTTTAAAATGCTCGTTAACAATTTCTACACAAATAGGCCCTCATATAAGATTGTCTCTTGGGATCTCTAGAAACTGATTCCCTCTCCTCCTGACTCTTTAAATCAGAATACATGATGCATACATTCTAAGAAGTATGTCTAGTAATCTAAATATCTTGCAAGGAAGTTAACAGCAACAGTCATAATAATGGCTATCTTTTTTTAATACTTACCATCTGCCAGGCACTGTGATAGGCAAATTAATACATATATATATATATATATACAGTTATTATTAGCCCCAATTTACAAATGAGAAAACTAAGGATCAGGGAAGTTGAGCAACCTAAGAGGTCACACAGCTAGTAAGTAGAAGAGTCAGGATTTAAATTCAGGCTTGTCTAATTCCAAAGTCCTTACCACTATAATCTGCTATTTTCCAGAAAGCTAAGATTTTTAAAAAGAAGTTGTCTCATCATTACTGTTGCTTCTTTCTACCAAGAACATTCTCTCTACAGCATGGGTCCCTTATGTGTTTTTTACACTTAAGTCAGGCCAGCCGAACTGAACAGTGGAATAAAAGGTCACAGTTACTTAAAGATAAACAAGGTCCAAGGACCAATCAAATAGAACTGACGTGGCCATTGGCTCAGAGGTTGCCTGATTTGTCAGCTATAGCAGATCTTTCCTACTGGGTAGTTTTACTAGGGTTTCCTGATAAGCTTTCACCTTAAGCAATAAAGAATTCTTTAATATCTGCCCCTCCCTCTTCTGACATTACAAATAGGTAATATTTTAAAGGCACCTGTATTTTTACAAACATTTTAAGGGTGTCATAATAAACATGGAGTAAATGCCATGTCATATTTTCATGTTATCCTATATACTAAAAGCCTAATATGCTAAGTGTCCGGTTGTCCATTCAACCAATCAAAGCATAATATGCTAATGATATGCTAAGGCCACTCAACCACTTGCTATGACGTGCACTGACCACCAGGGGACAGATGCTCCGACCAGCAGGCTAGCTTGCTGCTGGGACCCAGCCAATTGGGACTGAACGAGATGGGCCGGACATGCCCTAGGGCCGTCCCACGGTCCCTCCCCAGCTGGCCAACCTCCCGTGTCCCTCCCCAGTCCCGATCATGCACCAGTGGGGATCCTCAGCCTGGCCTGCACCCTCTCACAATCCAGGACCCCTCAGGGAATGTCAGAGAGTCAGTTTCAGCCTGATCCTGCAGGGATAAAAGGCTAATATGCAAATCAACTGCTAAGGATGTCCGACTGACAGCTTAGGCCTGCTCCCTGCAAGCTCCCAGACTATGAGAGGGTGCAGGCTGGGCTGAGGGACTACCCCCCCCCCCACCGAGTGCACAAATTTTGTGCACCAGGCCTCTAGTTTTCTATAACTCTAAGTTAAAATTCCTTAATGTTTAATAGTAAACTATTTAATATGTCCAAAGGCATGTTTATAGGAATTTCTCAGAAATCTTTGCTCTCTTTGTGTGTTTGGAGGAAGGGATAACTTGTGCTTTGCTCTTTTGTTTGTTTTATTTTTTACTAGAGGCCCGGTGCATAAATTTGTGCACGGGTGGGGTCCCTTGGCCTGGCCGATGATCAGGGCCAATTGGGGCCGATTGGGGCGACAGGAGGTTGGCCGCCGGGGGGAGGGGCCGCAGGAGGTTGGCTGGCCAGCCCAACTGGGCCATTGGGGCTGGCCAGCAGAGAGGAGGGGCCACAGGAGGCTGGCAGGGGGAGAGGGGGCTGTGGGAGGTTGGCTGGCTGCAGGAGGTTGGCTGTGGGGGTGCACTGACCACCAGTGGCAGCTCCTGCATTGAGCATCTGCCCCCTGGTGGTCAGTGTGCATTACAGCGACCAGTCATTCTGCCGTTTGATTTGCATATTAGCCTTTTATTATATAGGAAGATATTGTGGTAAAATATAAATAACATAAATTTGCTTTGCTTTTTAACTGTTTACTTCTTGAAGTATTGAGCCATCTTGTCATATGATTCAACTTAACCAACCAAACACATGGTGAATATCATTATACTATACTAGAGGTCCAATGCATGAAATTCGTACAAGAGTAGGCCTCTCAGGCTCGGCTGCCTCGCGGCC